AATTTGTTATAAAAATATCACAAGGTTCAGTGAATAAAGTTCTGCTCTATCTTTAAAACTAAAAAATAATAATAATAATAATAATAATAATTACAGTGGACAGAGGTGTAAACTAGAACTGTTCTAGGCAAAACCAGGACATATTTACATACAGATATAAATTAGTTTGTGGCAGGCTCTTATGGTTTGTACATTACTTTTTAATTAGCAAGATTATATAAGAGTATCAGCTGTTAAAGCATTGTGCATCTAGGAAATAAGCTGTAAGTTAACTGTGTTTTTAAGTAGGTACTTTATCAGTTCATATTTTAATTTTAGAGAGTGTCGCCTTTAGTTCCAGTTTATCTTACTGTTTTTCCTTCTTTTTTTTCCCTTTACCATTTTAGTAATGGCCACGTTGCAGCTACCAGCCACTAATTTGGCCAACTTGGCAAATTTGCCTCCTGGCACTAAACTCTACCTTACCACCAACAGCAAGAATCCTTCAGGAAAAGGAAAACTGCTTTTGATCCCTCAAGGAGCCATCCTGCGAGCTACCAACAGCGCTAGTTAGTTAAATCATTTGTTTAAATTATTAAATCATTTGGTTCTTGGGTCTCTGAGTATGTTCATCTCGTCCTCCTGAGGGGCAGCTCTTACCTGGTTTAGAGCATTTCTGTAACTCTGGTGGTATCATTTACCCAAATGGATTTAAAACATACAGATAATTCAACTAGAACTGAGTTGGAATAATAGTCTTAGGAGGTGACACTATTATTTTGGGTTCCTGTATTCAAAGTTTGGGGTCAGGGATGAATGCCACTAGAGAGTTATGGATATTGAGGCTGTGTTGGGAGACCGCTGTCCTCATGACCTGTAAATGAAGAGTTCTTCCTTTCAGCAGTATCTGAACGTTGTCTGGTGATACCTGAGGGAAGGTCCCTCTACTTCCAGTAGCTGGGAGTCTATTTTCATTTTAAAGGGGATAGGAATAGAATTGAAACCAAGTGTCTCTGCTTGCCATTATTTCGATGTACTTCTTAAATTTGCTAGGCGTGGAGAGGGAAGGAGAAGTACAGGCTCAACCTTAGTGAGTACGTCTTAAAGCCCCAAGGAGATTAGGTAGTTCATCTAGAGGTGCATAAACTTTTGCTTTATTTAGAGAGAAACAGTTTGGGTGGTGTTGAAAAGGAAAGGGTAAACGGAAATGTTTACCTGTGAATCAGAAGTAGAATGGTACAGCAGTCAGGTTCATTAGAAATTAACCACGCTTGCCAAAATGCAGTGTGTAAGCTAATTGTCATTTTGTTTACTGACTGTGATGAGTCATTTTTACTTTCTCAGCCTGGTATTTTTTCCTCATACCTAAGCAGTGGTATGTCAAAAAACAGGACAGTGTACATATTCCAGAAGTCATCCAGAGAGCTACTTTGATTTTTGTGATAGTCTCAGGGTCAAAATAAACCATTGGGAGGGAATCTGTTCCAATAATAATCACTAGAATTAAGGTGGGGAAAGAAGTTGAACTCTAATATTAATTGAGTGAATATTTGTAATATAGGTAGTTCTGTACATTATCTCACCAAAGGGAAGTAAAAAGAGTCCGTATGCTTTGAAATGCTAAAAAAAAAAAAAGTGGGACCCTGAAGTCATTGTAAGTGTGAGGAAAGTCTTAAATTTTTCCCAGGACAGGGGAAACAGAAAATAGAGAGTACTGTAAAATTACACTAAATTTTAGCAGTTCCACTGAAATTGAATCAGATGCCAGAAAGTTTGGAAGCACCTGAGTAAATTCTGTGTTGATTAAAACACTTGGCTAGAAAATGTCAATATCAGGCTCTCTCTTGATCACCTACAACTAAGTCGAAAGACTCGTCAAAGATAAGTTCTTCATTGTACTCAGAGCTGAAATACAGTCAGCTGCCATTCAGTTGATAGTAAGTAGATTTCAAACCTCATCTTCAGACTCTAGGAAGCTCCCCTCACTCTTGTCGCAGAGTAGGTAGATTACAGAAGAGGAGGAGGAGAAGAGGAAAGGAGAAGGCATGGTGCTGCAAGGGAAGCTTCTCTCCAGGCTCATTTGTTTTGTTGTTGTTGTTAAACCTGTGCTTGATACTTGTGATGTTGCTGTCATTCATTGTATTTTCAGACCTCCAGTCCAGCTCAGCTGCTGGCAGTGGCAGTGGTGGTGGTGCAGGAGGAGGAGGCGGTGGAGGCTGCAGTGGCAGTGGTGGTGGAGGCAGCGGAGGAGGCGGCGGCAGTGGAACAGGAGGATCTCAAAGCACCCCTGGCCCTGGAGGGATATCCCAGCACCTGACTTACACATCTTACATCCTCAAGCAAACTCCCCAGGTCTGGTCATTTGTGACTGATCTTTAAATTCATTTAGTGATTTGATAATTGCCATTAATTATAACTGATTTGCCTTTACACCTCTGGGATCAAGGGTCAATACTAACATTTTAGCCGTGTTATAAATCTGTATTATTTTGGGTTTGTTTTGCTATGAGACGAGGAAATGGAGATTCAGAAATACTTAAGTAACTTATTGAAGATGTCCCTGCTAAACTAATGGTAGAGTTTGGGTTTAAACCCAAATCTTTCTGCCTCAAAGAAAGATTTCTACTATGCTAATTGTCTCCCAAATCCATGAGGTAATAAACAGTATTAATGTACAGTTTAAAATTTGCTCTTAAGGGGCCGGCCCATGGCTCACTTGGGAGAGTGTGGTGCTGATAACACCAAGGCCATGGATTCGGAT